CCATCAAATGTATAAAGAGGCCCTTGTGTTGTATTTCGGGCCATCAAAAAGCACCCAGTGCGGAGGGCCAGACGGTCCATCAAATGTATAAAGAGGCCCTTGTGTTGTATTTTCGGGCCATCAAAAAGCACCCAGCGCGGAGGGCCAGACGGGCCGTCAAATGTATAAAGAGGCCCTTGTGTTGTATTTTCTTCTCTGTGATGCCTCACGACCTTCAAAGTGAAAATGCATAGATGAGTGTAGACGACGGGGAAGGTTTGAGAGAGAGGCAGAAAAGCATAGAGATAGTTGGAGTTCGGATGCATCCGAGTATGCGGGCAGAACATCACACCACACAAGACACAAAATGGCGAAAGCGAGAAAGTTAATCACGAAACAGGCGCCCGAATAACGGGGACGCTCGTGAGAATTGAAAGCCAATGAGAAAGAACAATATTGTCGACGACAAACACGCCGGGGACATGACAATTTCACCCGGAGATATCCTGGAAGTGACAGTCAGTTCTGCTCCGAACCAAACCGAGAACACCCACCAGTCTCTCACAGAAAAAATAAAAAGGAACAAATTTCGTCCGAAGAAGAACGAAATGTTCTTCTTAGTCAACCCTTCTACACTACATGATCAACAAAAAAATAGACGCTTACCTACCAACATCGCAAATCGCCGAAGCTAGTCTAGCTCTGATAGAGGAGATGTGTCTATGGGAGAAACCAAAAGGTGGACGTAAACCTCTCGCCAAACAGGAAGCAAACATCAACATGAACACCCCACAACTAGCCCCGTCGTGCTGCCGAGGGACACCTTTCACGCTGACCTCACGAGCGAAGTGGTTGAAAGTGCGACTATCACCGGCGGCAATGGCCACCGTGTTCAAAAATTTAACAGATTTATCTAAAAGTGCGGAGTAGAAGTCATCTTCGGATGACGAACACGAGAAAGAATCATAGATTTATAAAACACGTCTAGAGAAGTCAATGGCCAAAAGGCTCCAGTGTTCGCCGTCCTTGTGCACTGGTGCCAAGACGAGGTCATGAGACAGGAGGTCCACATCTTTAGCCCGTCTGCAAAAAGTTGCCGGACCTCGCAGAAGTAGTGTAGAGGTGAAGAAAGTGTTAAAGGTGTACGTCTTCTTGGTAGCAGCAGTCCGGCCGCAGTCGTCCAGTAGCATCGCCATGTAGAAATTGATGACCTCATCGTTGAGCTCCCCGGATCCATCCACGAGTGTGACGATGTCCTTTACGGAAACCTGTAAATTGTGCGACGGCAAACGCGCGACGATGACAGTGAGCGGCAACTGGGAGCAGATAACGTCTTCAAGGACTGCTCTTCCATCTCGAGGAAACCATGTTCAACAAACACCCGCAACACACAGCAAGCACAAAGGATGGGGCACTATGAGAAAATGCCGTCCTAGCGGCCATGGTCCGACTAACCGCTATTATGTGGCCCGAAAAGTTCACACATAACGCCACCCCTACTTCTGAACCTTCCACACACAGTTGATTCTAAACTAGCACTATCCTTCTTTAAATCCCTACAAGCCTCGAGAAGGAATTCCTTGCAGTCTTTTTCGGCAACACCCGCTGCCTCTGCAACGAGTCTAGCGCGAGGGCCCAATACGGGCACGACAACCCTTCTGGGAGGGCCCCGAGGTTTAGTCTCCCCAGGAAACGAATCAGTGACATTGCGACGACCAATGCCTCCCGCAACTAGGACTGACAACCTGGCGAGGGCAGGCGGCTCCTGCGACATGTGTGTTTGTCCACAAGCTCGTCGACCTGTACAAGAAATAGCCAGCAGGAGATCAACAACACAACTTCGCAAGAGCAACCAAGCAAACAGAACCTAACGAAGCACATCGTCAAATCCAGTTGGCGGCCGCGTACACACCTCCCCGAAATCGACAAAGCAAACAACACTTCACGAACGGGCTGACGAGCGGGAAGCAAGCACAGGAAGACAGTGCTTACCAGGCTTAGCTTCAACGTCACCAAAGCCCACCGATGGCAGTCCCAGCACGATTGGCGCCCCTGTGCGTCTCGACGCGGCGACGACGTGCTCCAAACTCACAGGGAAACTCGACAGGTTCGAGATGTCGGCTTCGATGACCGGAGACGACATGAATTCATCCCCATCCCGATGGCGGAAATCCTCCACGTCCGCGACGGGCAATTTTAGTTTGTCTGTGTCCGGACAAAGAGCGTCGACGTCCACAACATCGACAGGTTGGGTTTCCTCCGTCGCCACTGTGTCGCATTGTGTTGTGCTCAAGGTCCCATGGATGTCCAACAACACCTCTCCCCCCCTTAACTTCTTGTCCTCGTGCGCTGTGTCTTTATCCTCGTCACTCAAATAGAGAAATCTATCTCCAACAGCGTCAGAGGACTTCTTCAGAACATCCTCTCCCATTGCCTCGTCGTGAAGGCCGGAGTACAAGGGGTCGTCGTATGTCAGCTGAACTGGTTGCTCCATCCCGATGTCGCCGAGTGTCGGATCAATCCGGTCATCGGCGGAATCATCCTTGTCCAAAGTCGTCAAAAGTCGACAACCGTCAAGTCCTTCGTCGGTGTGTCTCGGATGAATCTGAATTACGGTCGTCTCCAAACCTGCATCAGGGAGGGACATGCTCACAGGGCCCTTGTTCGGATTCATCCGAGCCCCCGCAGTTTCCAACGGCGACGACGTGTCCACTTTCACCGGAGAGTCGCTTAAGGCTGTTAACTCAGCGCATACCGTCACCAGACATTCGGCTCCAAGTGTGCGGGGCTGGACATTGAAACTGGTCGCTAACTCACCCTCAGTCGGACAGTCTGCCTGCAGCTCCTTGTGGACTTCCATGCACAGCATTACGGCGTCCTGACACCGGTCGTCTGTCATGGCGGACACGTCCTCTTGGTTCGGATGAATCCGAATTTCGCCGCCAGGGTTTTCGAAAACCCGGACCACCCGTTCGAGTTCCGGAGACCGCTGTGCTCTCTCAACGGTACTGGCTTCCCGGTTCGGATTAATCTGAACTTTCTTTTGAGGCGAAACCGAACATGGTTGGAGCTTGTCGCTGCCGGATCCGTGGTATGTTGTCGTCTCGCTTCCCGGAAGGCACTGAGTTCCGGACGACGATGTCATCTCCGAGGTTCGGATAGATCCGAGACAATCGACCAACCGTTTTAGGAGCTGAGCGAAGCAAGTTCCATTCTTTGCTACAACTTCCCCGCCAACAACATCAGTATACTGTGTTGCGCTGGTGGAGCTAATCACAGGGTTCTGCTCGCCAGGCCGTGTAATCCACCCAGGCCTGAAGTCGTTCCCCGTCTCCATTGAGGTGCTGCCTGTCACCGCCAGAACCCCACCGTCCTCGTCGCAGTCGACATCGGACCCCTGCCCGTCTCCTGTGTGATGCTTTGTCTTCTCTCCACTGCGAGGCTTTTTCTTCTCCCGGCTTCCCTTTTTCCCCTCTCCGCCGCCTGCGTGCCCCGGAGACCGCTGTTTCGTTAAACGCTGTTCACTTCCACCTCCGGTACCTCGTTGCCCGCCGCCTTCACCATCCCCTTTGTCGTCCTTTCCGCGAGACTTGCGCGTCACAACTCCTGCCAGCGGGGTGCCCGCAGGCAACTCCCAACTCACTTGCTTAATTGACGGGCTTGACGGAAGGGCGTAAAACGCGGAGGACACTTCCAACCATTTATTTAACTGCAATAAATCGAACACCGTGTCCCCGTATTCGCGCAGAGCAGGGTCGTCCTTACTTCGTCGATTGACCTCACTTAATCTCTCCAAAACCGCATCGTAGGCGCGAGATTTGAATGTCTCGAGGTCCCAACGATTGTCATATATCCACCCTCCACTTACGTCCCTCACAGCCACTGCCCATTTGCCGTCGAGAAGGACTGGTTGGAAATGGTCTGGGTGCCACACGATATCATGGCCCCAGTCTTCGGCTGTGGAGAAGGTGTGTTTGTTGCCCATGTGGAAGGGAGTCGCAGGAGCCTTGAGATGCGGATGGTCCGGAGGAACTGGATGGCCGGGTCGAAGACGTTCGGGCTGCGGTGTGAGACGAATAGGCTCCCCCGGCGAACTCCTCAGACGGGACAACCCACCCCACTTGACAGGCGCTGAGGAGGATACGGGCGTGGGGCTGCCCGAGGTGGGTGTAGCGAGAGGTGTCCCCGGTTTGCATACTGACGGCGACGCAGAAACTTGGGCGTTGAAGATGGCCAATTGCCCATCCAAATCGAAGAGGTCGTCCTCAACGCTCTCCTCCTTCTCAGTCTCGATATTGAAGTCGTCCTCCTCACCGAATGCCAGCTTGTAGTAATCCAAAGTGAAGTCGGCCAGATCGACAACATCCTCGTTAAAAAATACATATTCCAGCCTCTTAATCAGGGTTGTCGAGCCCCGGCCCCGGGGCCCCGGGGGGGTTCCGGGG